AAGAGTAAAAACACACGCTTGGGGGAGATGGCTGGAGCTTCAAAGAACTGTTTTGGAATTTATCCAAATTCACAGATTATTTAGCCAGTACAATAGAGGAGGGGGAAAAACACTGTAAGCTCATTAAAAAAGAAAATGTCTGGTATTTAACAGGCTTTAGGGAGGATTTAACAGCACTATATCTTGTGCTTGGAAGTTTCTGTGAGGAGATAGAACAGTGCGAAGAAAGTGGGGGGTCTGTATCTCCGTTTCAAGGCTTGGCATCTCCATGCGTGACATGCCACGTCTCCTGGTTCTCTTTAACATAAAAACATTCACTTTTGCACAGTCACGCACCTCTGCTAGCTCCAAAGCAGCAACAGGAAGTTTCAAACACACAGTTGTGAGTGGCCAACAGCTGCCTCATAGGTCAGCATTGATCTGTGCTCGCTCTCTCTTTCTCACTTGCTCTCTCATTTGAACCCTCTCAGTCAAAAAATCCAAATGTTCTCAAAAAACGCTTGCTAATTTGCCATTTTAACAGTAAGATTTATGGCTGAAGTGAAAGCTGCAGGAATCCCCCCCCCCACCTGAGAATCTCGATAGCAACTTAAAGCCATCAGGCTAGGCATCAAAGACAGACCTCACAACGATCCAACATGATGAAATCTCCTCAATCTTTCCCATACAAAGGAGACCGGCGAGTGATATCTGCCCCAGACATGTCAGGAGGAGCCAAAATATACATCTTGAAAAGCCAGCTGAGCATTTGCAAATAATTATGTAGTGTGAATGTCAAGCCATTTGAACAAGAGTGCTCAAGTGTGTCAGAATATACATCAGTGGCCCATCGGTGACTACTGTCACTTGCCAATATAATTTACACTAGAGTGTTTTACTGGACTGCGTTAGAATTAGCACCTCAAAATGGAAATTCAAAACTTTTTTTCTTTATGAAGATACACCAAAAATACCCCCTGATGAGACGAACTTCCAATTGTAACACAAGAAGCACCAAAAATATTTTTTAAGAGAAGAACGTTGACACAAATTTTTTACTAGACAACCACAGACAAGACCTAAATTTTTAAGCATTCAAAACACAACAACACAAAAAGGTTTAATAATAGATTTTACAGTTAAGGAATCTAAATGAAAATTGTCAGTGGGCTTTAGTTAAATAGTTCTTATATTTTATGTTTTCATTCTCAAAATTGTATTTTAATAAAGTATTTCTCTTGGTTCACACACACATAAACTGTGGCTCACTCACAAGTGACAAGTATATGTGATCATGCCAAGAGAGAATTTTCTTAAGAAATGAAAGAGAACCTACTTAAGAAATGCTAATAAAACCGTCCTTCAATCTGTACAGAATGTGTATTAATTTAATTTAGAAAGAATTGATTTATATAATAGTTCTTTGATCAAATGAATTGCACCGTTCTTAGAAAGTTGATTATTAAAATTGTTGTCTACCACTAAATTGTGGTTTCTTTAACAATTTTTAAGCATTCAAAACACAACAACACAAAAAGGTTTAATAATAGATTTTACAGTTAAGGAATCTAAATGAAAATTGTCAGTGGGCTTTAGTTAAATAGTTCTTATATTTTATGTTTTCATTCTCAAAATTGTATTTTAATAAAGTATTTCTCTTGGTTCACACACACATAAACTGTGGCTCACTCACAAGTGACAAGTATATGTGATCATGCCAAGAGAGAATTTTCTTAAGAAATGAAAGAGAACCTACTTAAGAAATGCTAATAAAACCGTCCTTCAATCTGTACAGAATGTGTATTAATTTAATTTAGAAAGAATTGGTTTATATAATAGTTCTTTGATCAAATGAATTGCACCGTTCTTAGAAAGTTGATTATTAAAATTGTTGTCTGCCACTAAATTGTGGTTTCTTTAACATTTCTTTATGTAAAAAGAAACATTCCGCCCCCCATCATATACAGTAACTGCTTTCCGCACCATTGACCACAGCTTTGTGAAAGATAATGCAAAATGATCTGATGAAAACAAGATGCACAGATATCAAAGGAATTTGTTGTCCTCTTGCTGTCTCCAGCGTCTACAGTACTGTATATCTATGAAGTTCTCTTATATTTGCACATCATGTAAAAACTCTTACAGGGTCTGTGGACACATTCATAAAGTTTAAAAACAAACAGAACTCTGTCATCGCCGTCAAATCATAACTGAATTCAAGCAGAATCAGAGATGCTGGCAGTTTGTCAAGTTTTAAATTACACGAAAAGGCCTTTAGCCTTAATTCTTGTTAATTAATGAAAAAAAAAAAACATTTTCGAAATAGCAAATCCTTCAGTGTCTCTAGCGAAAACAGCTTTAGTCATGCACTCTGGAGAGCAGTGAGTTAGTGTGGATGTTTCATCTCCCACAGTGAGTCAGGCCTGTACACTGAACTATGGCACTAAAGCTAAAGAAGGCAAGTCAATGAAGGCAGTGTTCAGCCTTGGAAGGTCGCCATATCCGTAATCAGGCGGCCTCATGCAAGCTTGTGTTTTCATAAAGTTCTTTAGACTGAGTCCAGATCCTGTTGGACTTTACTGTAAAAATTGAAAAAGCAAAAACGATCATTTAATTTTAGACAAAAACAAACACCTTAAGCTAATGTTTAAACGCCCCGAGATGAGAATTCCTCAGAGCCCAAATGAATGTGCTTCATGTTGAGGCACAAACCTCAAATATTTAGGAACAATTCAGAGCTAAATCTAATTAGCAGTTATTGGGCAGATCGCATATATGCCTGGTGGCCTAATTTTGATTGTGGCTGGCTTACCATGGTGCATTGGCTCTGGCAATCACACAGGAATCAACACGCTCACTTGTTTTTGAAGCACTGTTATGCAAATGGAGGATTGGGCCAAGACTTGCCCTCTTCCACAGTAATTACGAGGCCTCCGCCTGCAGATCTGATTCCTGTGGAGAGGACTTTGGCAGTTTGCAGAGGTGGTGCGCTCAAAGCCACTTGTTGTTCGCACACGTGCGTGTATGAATACACATGTTCACAGGCTCCCAGACCAAAGACTGTTTGGTTGTACACACACAGGCCATGCATATTCTGCAGTGCCCTTTGTATAGAACACCATGACTAATCTGGAACTTTGACCCCTTGCTACTAGGACAGTATGGTGGATCTGAAAAGCATTTCCAAGTGCCTCATTCCTCTTCTGGAATTCAGAGACCCTGAGTGCCTTACTGACAAACCAAAGCACACTGAACCCCATCCACTGCAAAGCATGATTCCAAAGCTAAGCAAAGCACATATTCTTCAAACCACTAAACGCCTCACTAGCACTGTGAACCCTGTTTGCAGACTTCCACTAGCCGAGCACAAAAACAATAGTGTCTACTCCTATTAGCTCTGTTCTAAATCAAGTGACCAGCCTTGCTGCCTACATACAGTAGGCTGCACCCGAAATGGAAGGGAATTTCAAATATATAATGTAGAAATATATATAATATAATGCAAGTGAAAAGATTATTAAGATTATAAGCATTTAGTGAATAATATTTATAACACACACACACACATATATATATGTATATATATATATATATATATATATTTATAGCATACACTACTAAACCAAAAAGAAGAAAGAAATGACTACTTTACAGAAATTAATACTTTTCTTCAGCAAGAATTCATTAAATTAATCAAGTGATAATAAAGTTGGTCACACTTTATTTTAAGGTCCAATTCTTGCTATTAACAAACCATTAGCTACGACTTTTGCCTCGATAAACTCCTAATTTGCTGCTTATTAATAGTTAGTGAGGTAGTTGTTAAGTTTAGGCATTGGGTAGGATTAGGGATGTAGAATATGGTTATGCAGAATATGTGCTTTATAAGTACAGTTCTAATAAACAACCAATATGTTAATAATAGGAATGCTAATAAGCAATTACTTAATAATGAGAATTGGTCCCTATACTAAAGTGTTACCGTAAAGTTACTATTTCAAATAAATGATGTTCTTTAGAACTCCTTTTATTAATAAAAAAAATCCTGAAAAAGTTTCTCACAGTTGAAAAAAAAAAAACATGTTAAGCAGCATTCAATACAGATAATAATAAGAAATTATTTGTAATACATGTATTAGAATTATTTTTTGAAGAATTGTGTGACACTGAAGACTGGAGTAATGGCTGATGAAATTTCAGCTTTGCAGTCAGAGGAATAAATTATATTCAAAATGATATTTACATGTTAATATATAATTAATATTAGTAATTATTAATATTTTAATAATTAAATTTTTCACAATATTCTTCAAAATATCTCGGTGACATGAATGATGACAGAATTTTAATTTTTGGGTGAACTACCCCTTTAAGAGTTTGAAAATGTTTGAAAAGCAGCATCAAGTTGCTTCCTACAGTGGTTGCTCACTAGGTTTTGGAACAGCTATTATTGTACGTGTCTATTCTAAAAAAAAAAGTTAAAAAGGTGTTTTAGAAAATCATAATCATCTTAGTATATTTGCATCTCATTACAGCATCGCCATCGCACTGCATGGACCCGACCACAGTAAAGGATCAGATGAGAAGCAGACATCTGCCTCCTAATTTTGAATGCCTGGCAGTTACACACTATGCCTCACATTATTTATGCAGATATATTGCATTTATTATATCAAAGTTTAAATAGAGTTTTTAATCATTGTACTGAATGAATAATATTTATAAACAACATTTCTGTCGCTGAGCCATTTTTTCAATGAACTCAAAGCAATGCATTCTGGGATTGTATTCTCCACGTAGGATACATGAGATGCTGCCTTGTAAGTTGGTTTAAAAAGGTATCTTAGCAGCCATTATAATTAAGTTGCCTACCTTTTAGTATAGCCTTCATTTCTGAAGTGTGCCTATGATGCCTACACATGAAGCTGACTAGCCTTTGCTCGTGATCAAGTGTTTCTGATCCACTTATTAAAAACATATTAAAGTTACATCCAGAGATCTGCTAGCTGTGTTTGTTGTACCTGGACATGACGCGGTGAGAGTTTCCATGGGCCGGCTGTCCGGTTGGGCTCCATCTGGAGGTTCGGGCGGGCTGACACTGTGGCTGTGGTCCTCCTTGGACATCTGTTCTTGAGCCAGGTGCCAAGTGACTAGAAATTACCCTGCAAAAGAAACATACAGATGAAAACGAGGCTAAAACTTGCGAACACACAACTGTCCTTGTTCCCACTATCGCTTTTCCCTCCTATTGTTTGGCTCATGTCAGTGGGCCAAAGCACTTAAAAAACAACCAGCGGCTTGGGAAATAATGCTTGGCACAAGAAGAAGAAACTAAAATGGCACAATGAAGCAGAACATGGCCAGAAACTATCAATATACTGTATGGTGTGCTATGATACAATAGACTTGTGCAAACGTTCAAGTCATTAACTAAATAAAGAAATAAACATAATTTTGATGCTCAGACCATGGCATTCCTGTGGTGAACATGCAATTTCAAGAGTTTCTTTAATTAAAACGTCATGTGCTACATGAATACTTATTTAGCTTCTTATAACATTCACTTCAAGACATGATAAAGTTACTTCATAACTACTAAACGCTTCACTAAGAAGTATAATATTAGAATTTTGCATGAATCACGTGCAGCACACAGAACACTATGACTCTGTTGGTTTTCATGTTGTGGTTTGTCTCTGGCGAGTCTCTGCACGCTCCAGCTAAAACTCACTCAAACCTGTTGAACGTGTCCACAGTTCACTTTATAGACAAAAGTGAAATGTAAAACAAAACTGTCCAAACGTCTTACCTGCAACGGTCACTCGGTACCAGTGTTGTTTCAGTGATGCATCTTCTAGTGCTCGCAGAAAACAAACTTTCAAGTGTCCCGTTCAGCGGGGAAAGGTCTTTTCTTTCTCTTCATGTATTTCTCTCTTCAAGTATTTGAGTTGGTTTACTATTTACATGGATGTTGACACTCGCTGTTCCTCATTTGTTAGTTTATCTCGTCAGTTAACTCCAGCGCTGAATACATGAAAAGATTTATCTACGTCTTCAAACTCTCTCAGAGCCCCCCAAAAAATTTGACAGAAAACATCGTAAAGTAGAAAAAAAGAGCCCGTTTTTCTCACAACACTAAAGAAAGCCAAGAAATGAAAAGTTTTTTCCTCTCAAATCCTAATTTCCAGTAATGATGAAAACTCTTGAGGTCGCTCGCCAGTGTTAAGAGCTCATGCACTGTCGCTCAGAACTCAAGCAGCAGCAGCAGCAGTCGCGCACTCAGCTCGAGACTGTTCGACAGGAAATGACATTGAGGACTGACTACTCTGACTCCCTGCAGGCAAGAGATGCCTGTACTCCACAATTACACTGATTACACTCTCCAGGACCACATTATAAACAAAAACACGTCAATACAAAACAGAAAAGAATAATATAATATAATATAATATAATATAATATACACAGTAAAGTATATAAATGTACAATCTTATATTATTATAATTCTGTATTATGTATCATAATATTATATTAAAATGAGGTATTATGTGATTATATATATATAGCATTCATATTACTTTTCATATTACTTGTAGATATTACTACACTTCAAGTGACGTTAACCTGTGGCAAATTCAATTAAATGGCTATGATTTGGAAAGGCACACGTCTTAATAAAAGGTCTAACAGCTGAAAATGCATATTGAAACAACTAGAACTCTTCCTAGAGCTGGCCTCCTGGCCAAACTGAGCAACTGATGGAGAAGGGCCATGTCTAGGCTGGTGACCAAGAAGCTGATGGTCACTCTAGTTGAGCTCCATGATCATATATGCAGATGGGAGAAACCTACAGAAGGACAAACATCACTGCAACACTCCATCAACCTGGGCTTTATGTCGGTGTGGCCAGACTCAATCTTCTCCTCAGTGAAGACACAAACACACACAAAAAAAACACCTAAAGGACCTTTAGATACTGAGAAACAAGATGCTGGTCTGATGAACCTCAATTCCAAGCATAATGTTTGACGGAAACCAGGCACTGCTCATCACCTGCACAGTACCATCTCAAAAGTAAAGTGTGCTGGTAGCAGCCTCATGCTATGGGGCTGGTTTTCAGTGGCAGGTACCGAGAGACTCGTCAGAGTAGAAGAAAAACTCAATGCACCAAAATATTGAGATAGCCTTAATGAAAACCCAGTCCAGAGCATTCAGAACCTCTGACTGGGCAGAAGGTTCACCTTCCAACAGGACAATGA